GACATCTACGTCGGGATCCGCTTCGGCTAGAACTATGAGGTGAGTGAAAATCAGTCACCTCCTTCAACATAATTGGGAGCAAACTGCCTCCTAAGCCTTTCCCTATAGATTTCATTATTGCTTTTGCCGCCTCTTTTACCCTTTTTTCTTTTTTTCCGTTTAATTTTATTAGAGATAATTGAGTGCACATAATAACATATTGACCAATGAATGTAAAATGTAAGAAAATACTGGAAAATAACAATGTTAGAGAAGAGAAATGAAAAAGAACTCTTCCCAACGTTCTCACTTTTTCTGTCTACTGTCTTCCCCCCTCCCCCGCCCTTTTCCCCGCTTCTACGCCTTTCCCCCCCTTTTCTTTTATCGTTCCTAAAGTCTTTTTTTTTTTATGTTTCTTTTTCTCTTCTCTCTTTCATTATTACTTTTTCCATCTGACTTACACGTAACTTATAAGCTTACTTATTTTAGGAAAGATGATATACCAAACAATGTATGTACAAAGTATTTATTGACCAAATTGATATGGAAAATGATTAACATGAATTTATGTATGTATGTTAAATGTATAAAATAACAATAAAAAGGTAAATATTTTAAAAAAATAAAAAAAAGAACGTAATCCAAGCCGGAGAAAGCAGCCTCTTATTTAGACCGTGTGATGTAAACCGGCGGCTCTGGATGGACAGTTGGATAAATGGCTCTATATTTAGGATGTATCCGGTCTATAAATGGCGGCTCTGGATGGACAGTTGAAAAAGTGGTTCTATATTTAGGATGTATCTGGTCTATAAATGGCGGCTCTGGATGGACAGTTGGATAAATGGCTCTATATTTAGGATGTATCCGGTCTATAAATGGCTGCTCTGGATGGACAGTTGGATAAATGGTTCTATATTTAGGATGTATACGGTCTATAAATGGCGGCTCTGGATGGACAGTTGGATAAATGGCTCTATATTTAGGATGTATCTGGTCTATAAATGGCGGCTCTGGATGGACAGTTGGATAAATGGTTCTATATTTAGGATGTATCCGGTCTATAAATGGCGGCTCTGGATGGACAGTTGTATAAATGGCTCTATATTTAGGATGTATCCGGTCTATAAATGGCGGCTCTGGATGGAGAGTTGGATAAATGGCCTAATATTCAGCATGTATCCGGTCTATAAATGATAACAGGGATCACAGTAACTACGGAGGAAGTATATAAAGGGAAGTTATAAAGTATAAAATAATATCTTATTACCTCCTCTGCTCCCAGTTCCAGCAATGTCTCCTCTCTACTTCCTCCCTGATCACCTCTCACCCAACTGTCCAGTGTGTAAATGATTCTACTTCCTGTTTTCACCTATTGCTTCCTGTTTATATCTGACATTACTTCCTGTCTGTACATGACATCACTTCCTGTCTACCTCTCACTTATTAGATCACTCCCTTGTGGTGAGTATTAGAACTGCAGGCGATGTCTTTTCATCCTTGGCCTCTGAGTGCTCCGTTACGTTGTGTACATCCTTACCCATTGTGTGACATTGTCTTCATTATTCGGTAAATCGATCTCATATCACATACAGAATTCTTAATAATTGGAAGCTTTTAGACACGGCGTCCTGTTGTAGCATTTCCGCCATTTGCTTTTCAACTGCTTCCTTTCCAAAATTAAAATTTTATACAGAAGATAATAATCTATAGTCTCTGATGTTCCAAGATTTATGATCATAGAACCCCTTTGGGGGCATCCCATTGGATGAGTGGTTAGTGTTCCTGTAGCACCATAGTTCACGGTTCATATCCTGGTCAGCTTACATGGGTTTCCTCCCTGGGAGGGAATTTAACACGGTCCTCAACCAATTCATTGATACTTCCTCTGGAAAGGGTCAGTCAGGCTGTAGCGGTTACCATAGGCGTGCGCCGGGTGTGCCTTGACTCACCCCGAGCACAACAGCGGGCACCAGGGGTGGACTGCGGCCAGGAGGTGCTGGGAACAGCCAACTGTAACGTTCACCGCTAAACTACTGGCCCGTAGGTCTAATAACATCTTGGCAATGTTGGGGCCCTTTCGGGTGGAGCCCTCATAATAGAAGAAAGTCAACCGGCTTTACCACTTTTTTCCGAGCCGATGGGTCTGGGTCTCTGTTGGCGATTCCCTCTTGTGCCAAGAGATTCTCCTCCAGCAGGTCTCCAGATAGCTCTTAGGTGGAAGCAGGACACTTGTCGCCGTCTCTGAATCCTTTCCGGATCCCGAAGCTGTAGAGCTTACCCTTGAAGGGGGGCGCTGTGAATTTTCGGGTACTTCTGTCCCACAGGAGGACAACCCGCCCGGGCTAGATCCACCAACACACCTTGTGGACTGTATATGTCGGGCTTTGATAATAAGAGGCAGAGGCCGGGATCTTAAGCAAGTAAAAGCTGGTGACAGGCTAAGACGGCAGAACTGGTATCGGGAACAGTAACCCGGGAAATAAACGGTTAATAAATATTGGGGGACAATGAGAATAATTCGGAGTAGCAGAGTGATATCTGACTATGGAACCCCAGAGCCCGTCACCTATAGAGCAGTCCTGTCCTATCTGCTACACTACCGGCCCATAGGTCTAAGAATGTCTTGGCTATGGTGGGGCCCTTTGAGGAAGCCCCTAAAGTATACACAGGGCCACATTTGTATACAGGTGGCCCTCAGTCCAATTTGCACCGAATCATAATAACCTCTTTCTCCGGGAGGGTTGTATATCGAAACTCTGTATATAATGTAAGTCAATGGGAAGTGAGGGAGTTGGGTTCCAGGCCTCTCTATCTGCTACTCTGCCGGCCATTAGGTCCAACAATGTCTTGGCAACGTTGGGGCCCTTTAAGGAAGATACAGAGCCACATTTGTAGACAGTTGGCCCTCGGTTCAATTTGCACTGACTCATAAAAGGCTCCTTCTCCGGGAGGGTTGTAAATTGAAACCCTGTATATAATGTAAGTCAATGGGAAGTGAGGGAGTTGGGTTCCAGGCCTCTCTATCTGCTACTCTGCCGGCCAGTAGGTCCAACAATGTCAACGTTGGGGCCCTTTAACTCGGAGCTCTCAATATAGAAGGAGAAAGTCACGGGGTGGAAAGCCTCTCACCAAACCGATGGATCTCGGTCTCCGTATACTGTATATATACACTGCCTGGCCCCCCCAAAAAAAGTCTCCCCCTGGAAATAGGCGCGAGCCCTCCATTGGACAATGACGGCAGAGATCAATATCTGTCATCTGGAAACCCGAACCGATACATGGAGGAGCTTCTCGTGTCTTACGCAACCGTGTCAGAGGACAGATCCCGAGGTCGTGGAGAAGATGGAACTCGGTTTCGGAAGGGTCAAAATTATTGGCCGGCGTCAAGCAAAGGAAACAGAGATTGCGGAAAAATTACTAAAATTGGGTTAAAAATTGTCCAACCCGTTATCACCACCTGGGAGGATCGTGGTGAGCCGTCATCCTCCGGGAGGAAATGCGGTCGGAAGACAATCCTGAATGTTTGGGATTACTTAAAAGTTTGGTGAAATCAAATGCGCCGATACCAGTGTCAGTATTGGTGTGGATACTGGTACTCGGGAAACAAAGCGCCGACACCAGCCCATCTAAAAGTTTTAATGGATTTGGCTGCCATAAGGTTCCAGTGCTTGCTGGGAACCTCGTGGCGGCTGTCTACATTGCCGATCTGGCTGAACATCTCCTTCTCCTCCTTCCCGGCGGTTGCACAACCCTGGTGAGACCCGGCACAGCACTAGGGAGTCCCGCACAGCCCTGGTGAGACCCGGCACAGCCCTGGTGAGACCCGGCACAGCACTAGGGAGTCCCGCACAGCCCTGGTGAGACCTGGCACAGCACTAGGGAGTCCCGCACAGCCCTGGTGAGACCCGGCACAGCACTAGGGAGTCCCGCACAGCCCTGGTGAGACCCGGCACAGCATTAGGGAGTCCCGCACAGCCCTGGTGAGATCCACACCGACCCTGGTGAGACCTGGCACAGCACTAGGGAGTCCCGTATGGCCCTGGTGAGACCCACACCCACCCGCACAACCCTGGTGAGACATGGCACAGCACTAGGCAGTTCTGCGCAGCACTAGGGAGTCCCGCACAACCCTGGTGAGACCTGGCACAGCATTAGGGAGTTCCGCGCAGCACTAGGGAGTCCCGCACAACCCTGGTGAGACCCGGCAAAGCACTAGGGAGTCCCGCACAGCCCTTGTGAGACCCGGCAAAGCACTAGGGAGTCCCGCACAGCCCTGGTGAGATCCACACCGACCCTGGTGAGACCTGGCACAGCACTAGGGAGTCCCGTATGGCCCTGGTGAGACCCACACCCACCCGCACAACCCTGGTGAGACATGGCACAGCACTAGGGAGTTCCGCGCAGCACTAGGGAGTCCCGCACAACCTTGGTGAGGAGGGATCGCTGAGTAGACGTTCTCTAACCCAACCCATGACTTCTATTTGCGATCCAATATCCAGTGGGTAAACAATGAGGACCACGCCCCCCAGATTGCGTACAACCCACCAGCATACTATATTAGAGGCGGGGCAGGAAAAACACAGCATACATTATATTCTACTAATTGTATTTATTAACTTTTTTTAAATTTTGTTCGACACTAAAAAAGAAAAAAACTTCACAAACAAAATGAATTGAAAAAAAAATCAAAATACATTTTTAACAAATAAAAATAAGCAGGAAAATGATAGTTAAGAGGAGAAGGGGAAGAAGGAGTTGATTAGGGCTCATTAGGATAAATGAAAGGTTATTAAGGGGTTAAATAGCAACAAATTTAATTTAAAAAAAAAGTTTTACTTGTTAAGCTGCATTAAATGAGTTTGAAACAGATGGAAGCTCATCCCGTTGATCTGAATAAAGTTTGAGAAAATGCAAAAATACATTGGTCAGGTGTTTCAGCCGGCGTGAGTGCTCTGATATCTCATTAGTTATCCGTTCGTAACAAAACCTTTCCCGCACTCTAAACATGAATAAGGCTGTTGTTAACCTGTGTGAATTCTCTGATGCCTAAGAAGGGTCCATTTGACAGCAAACCTTTTTCCACACTCTGAGCATGAAAATGGACGCTCACCTGTGTGAGTTCTCTGGTGCCTAAGAAAGTTTCGTTTGTCAGTAAACCTTTTGCCACACTCTGAACATGAAAATGGTTGCTGACCCGTGTGAGTTCTCAGGTGTCTAAGAAGGTTGCTTCTCACAGAAAAACATTTCCCGCACTCTAAACATGAATACGGACACTCCCCCGTGTGAATCCTCTGGTGCCTAAGAAGGGTTCCTTTGACAGCAAAACGTTTTCCACACTCTGAACATGAAAATGGACGCTCACCTGTGTGAGTTCTCTGGTGCCTATGAGAGTTTCGTTTGTCAGTAAACCTTTTTCCACACTCTGAACATGAAAATGTTTGCTGACCCGTGTGAGTTCTTAGGTGTCTATGAAGGTTGCTTTTTACAGAAAAACATTTCCTGCACTCTAAACATGAATACGGACGCTCACCTGTGTGAATTCTCTGGTGCATAAGGAAATTTAGTTTGTCAGTAAAACCTTTCCCACACTCTGAACATGAAAATGGTCGTTCACCCTTGTGAGTTTTCTGGTGCCTAAGAAGATCTGCTTTGGTAGTTAAACTTTTCCCACAGACTGAGCATGCATAAGGTTGGTCACCCATGTGAATTCTCTGGTGTGAAAGAAGCTTGCTTTTAACAAGAAAACTTTTCCCACACTCTGGACATGAAAAGGTCACATGGTTGTGGGTTTTGAGATGTAGAAGCAGTTCAGATTTCATCTTAACATCTTTCCCGCACTCCAAACATGACAATGACCTCTCTCCTGTGTGATCTCCTTCATGGCTGAGAGAAGATCCCTCGGGGATAGTTGGATCTGTAGACGGATCCTCACTGTGGGAGCCGAGATGGATATCTGAAGTCATGTGATGTGACGTTTTCCTCAGTGAAAGATTTCCCGGACTCTGGACATGGAAAGGTCACATGGTTGTGGGTTTTGAGATGTAGAAGAAGTTCAGATTTCATCCTAAAGTCTTTCCCGCACTCCAAAGTAGACAATGACCTCTCTCCTGTGTGATCTCCTTCATGGCTGAGAGAAGATCCCTCGGGGATAGTTGGATCTGTAGACGGATCTTCACTGTGGGAACCGAGATGGATATCTGAAGTCATGTGATGTGATTGGTCAGAAGATTCCTCAGGATTAGAGGGATCCATTGATGTCTCCAGACAATGTGTTCTGTGGTGTATCATTGGACGTATGTGATTCACTTCAGAGTGAAGATCTCCCTCCGAGGTATTCCGGACATGGCGGCCGTCTGATAGAAAGCAAAATGACATGAGAAACACATTCTACAATACACCAAACCCAACACTGAGTGACGGGGGATGGGCACCGATGTCATTGTTATATTGGGGAATGGAGATGGACCTTCATATGGTGTACAGTATCTCCTCCTCATGTGTTGGTCACATGACGTTATATTGAGGAATGGAGATGGACCTTCATACCCCTTCATGACCGAAGCCTTTTCTTTCGTTTTTTGCGCCCGCGTTATATTCCACATTTTAGGCCTGAAAATTACTTAAAACCCCCCCAAACGTTATAAATTTTCTGAAAGCCGAGACCCTGTAGAATAACACGGCGGCAGTTGCAAATTCTTATGTTGCGCGATATTAGCGCAACTTATTATCAAACACCAACATTTTGTGAAAAATGCACTTAAGTTAAATTTAGTTCCCCAAAACACAATAAAATAGATTTTGAAAAAATAAAATATAAAAGACGAGGTGACGACGAGTGAATAGATACCCGACATAATAATAGTGCGCGTCCGTGAAACGGCGACAAAATTCAGTACCCCAAAACGTCCATAGATGACGCTTGGAAAGCCCCCCACAGGCCATCAGTTTAGAGATACGTGTAAATATTGGCCCCGGAATGATTGCTCTCACTCCGGCGTGCGCGGCGATACCCAACACGTGTAGCGTGATCGTCGTTTTCATACGTAGGCTCACCCGACGCGTGGTTACGTTATGACGCGCGTGCTCGCGGGGGACTTTAAAAACATTTTTATTATTATTTTTACATTTATTTTATTTGATGCTATTTTTAAACATTTTTTTAACTTTACTTTAATTGCTATTCCATAGGGGGGCTTACAAGTCCACCATGTGATAGCATATAGGCAGCGACAGGTCCTCTTTAAGGTGATTCCGGGGGTCCAAAAGACCCCTAATGTCCCCTTTACACTCCAAATAAGCTATTGAAGTGCAGATCGCAGGCTTTAGGAGCCCGGCGCTGACAGCCCAGGGATCCGGAAGTGATGCAGTGGGCGTCGCTCCCGGTCCCATAGAACGGGGAGGAGATCGGTGAGGGGACATTCACCGACCTCCTCCCCACCGACACCCGAGAAGCCGGTCCCGGGCCGCAGGAGGGGCAGCGGAGCCCGGGAAATGCGGCGAGGGTGTCGG